TGTGGTGAAGTACGGGCTGTGAGATTTCTTGGAGTGACTTGTCCTCTATATTTTTCCCAATTTTCAGGGGCTCATGGAATAACTTCCATGCAGGAAAAAGTAAAGTTACCTGGGGAACCAGGTACATTGGAGAGTTGTACAGTGAATGGGGCAGCAGGATCAGGTAGAGTTTCAGTCTTAACCAGAGGACCACAGTGGAAACCTTTGCCGAAGGTCCCTCCATGATCAGCTGGGATGAAGGGAGAAGGAGAAAGGAAGGAAGTTGGTTTCCAGGACCCAAGATTCATCTGAAAAAAAGGTTCCAGCTTTATACTCCCCTCACCTGCTGTAGCAGATTGGCAGACTTCCGCTATTGCGGATACCAATTGATTGGTAGACTCAGAGCTCTGTGTTTAATTAAAGCTCTGTGTTTTAGTAAATCTGGGCAGGAGGGACTTAAAAAGAAGCTTAAAAATATGTTGGTTATTTTCATACACAGAGCCTTATTTCTTGGCTTCTCTCCCCTGGAACCCGTGTACTAAATAAAACAAACCATCTGGGTGGGGGGTTGACGTGGTAACTCCTTTTGCCTTTTTTTATTAAGTGAAGACTGGCTACCGATTGGTTTGCTTTTGCCCTTATCATCTGTTATGTCCAGAAAGACATCTCCATTTTATTTTCAGAGTTGCTCAAGGAGAAACAGAAGCAGATGATTATTGCAGAAAATGGAGACACATGAAGTGCATGTGCCATGAGAAATGGGTGCCTTTTCTCCTAACGGGAGGTGTTGGTGCCTCGTGGAAAATCTGATCATTGGTCTCTGTTGTCAATGCAAAATGGTTTTCTTATTTCACTGATGGTGTTTCAGAGGCAAAGTGTATCAATGATTTCTGCATAGATGGAATACCTGTAATTTTTCCTATTGTTGACTCTAGTCTTGGGATCCCTCAGTACATCACGCTCGTATGCATGGCTCACAGGAATATCTCGTCAAAGCAAGACATGCTTTTTCCTCTAGATTAGTTCCAGGCTCTCTCTTTTTGAAAGAAATACCCTGGCTTTCAGAAATGCTCTGGTTTATTTTCAAATACGAGTCACTGAGGGAACTCCATGAGGCCCTTTCAGAGCTTTTGTTTACATGACTGTCATTTATTATTTATTTCAGTCACTTCACATATGATTTTGAAAATTCAAGAGTTTTTCAGAGGTTGATGGTTTTTTATTAAAAAAAGTTTTTGTTTTTTACTCTTCAGCTTTCTAGGTTTTAATAAAAAACATAAGGACAAAGATTCCTTCCCTTTCCTTTGTTTAGATGACTAATCGGATCTAATAGATAAAGTTTCTGTATTAATAATATATAATAACATAGACTTTATGGTTGGATATGAATAAGCTTTTGCTTGGGCTATGTATTGTGATAGTGTGAACATTCAAGAATGCTGTAGCTATCTTGCCAAGCTATTTCCTTTCCTTCATATCCGTTTGGGGAATCATCCTTTTTGCTATTAGAGCTATTCTGTTTGTACTTGAACTTTGAAAGTTCTTTCTATTCTTTGTCTTATTACATAATAAATTATAAAGTTTCCAAGTTTATCTTTGAGAACGGTGTTTTAAAAGATAGGGCATTGATGATTTCTTTCTCTTCTTCATTTGGGGCCTAGAAATGCAATTTGTATCCTGTATCTCATAGCTGCAGGGAAGGAGTATAACTTTTTCTGGGTCTGCTACTTGGATGGAGGTCGTTAACATTTCTAAGTCTTACTCAGCTCATCTGTGTATGAACCGGAGGTAATGATAGTATCTTAGGCCTCTGTTTTCAGGAATAAACTGAGATAATACCCAGGTATCAGCTGCACCATCCTGGCATTTACTATTGAAATGAAATGATCTCTACCTCATTTCCCGGTTTGGTGGAAGTCCTGGCTGCTCCAAATATCACTGAGGAATCTGACAGTCAAAGGTTGGGAGAAAATGTCTAACTTTTTTCTTATCTTTTCTGGCTCTGAGCTTCTACTTTAGAAGAATCATGTTCATTTTATGGATTTTCTTCCTATTATATGGTCTGTTTCTATTCAGACTACAGTGATTCAAACATTTAACATGACTTCCTTTCCTTGATTTTCACTAAGATCTACTCATACAAGGCACTTGCGTGTCTAACAGACTTTGTTGAAAGTTTGGGGACACAGAGAACATTTACACTCCAGTGATGAAAACAACTTAAATTTGATTTGAAATTTTTTTATTGTGGTAAAATATATATAACATGAAAGTTACCATTTTAATTCTTTCCTTCCTTCCTTCCTTCCTTCCTTCCTTCCTTCCTTCCTTCCTTCCTTTCTTTCGGCAGGGTCTCACTCATTTACCTGGGCTAGAGTGCAGTGGCATCATCATATCTCGCTGCAACTTTAAACTCCTGGGCTCAAGTGATCCTCCTGCCTCAGTCACCTGAGTAGCTGGGACTACAGGCACGCGTTACCATGCTTGGCTAATTTTTCTGTTTTTTGTAGAGACAGCCTCTTGCTCAGGCTGGTTTCGAACTTCTGGCCTTAAGCACTCCTCCAGCCTCAGCCTCCCAAAGTGTTAGGATTACAGGCATGTGTTGCTGCATCCTGCCCATTCAAACTATTTTTAAGTGTACATACAATTCAGTGGTATTAAGTACATTCACAATATCATGCTGCTATCAATTTCCAAAACTTTTCATTGTCCCACACTGAAGTCTCTTGGCCATTGTCTCCAGGACATTATCTTCTTCAGCTCAAAACCAAATTTCTCCCTCCTTCCCTCCTTCCTTCCTTCCTTCCTTTCCTCTCTTCCCTAATTAGTACCTCTAACGTTTCAGCTTCTGTGCTAAGTGCTGGTTATGCAGCAGCAAACAAAGCTATTATTATTCCTGCTTTCATGAAGCTCATAGTTGGGTTATATAGAGCAAATCCACTGGTTCTTCACCATTTTCTTCTATATGTTCTCCTTAGGGCTCCACCTTTACTTCCAAATGGTTTACCTTTCCACTCCAGTGCATATAAATGTGTGCCAAGGTGCTACATCATGCAAGCTCTCTGTAAATGGTGGATATTCTACCATTTTCCTTATACAATGCTTGCTTATAATAAAACTACAGCGAAAGCTGAAAATATAACCTACTTCTGGACTTTAATTCTGACAAACCTAAAGATGGTAAGATTCAAGGGGATGTATTGAGATTTTGTCTAATGGCAGGAATGAAGAGTTGGCACATGGAGACACAGCCCAATAGAGATGTCCTATAACACCATTCGAAGAAATTTTGAAAACTGAAATTGATTATGATATAATCTATTCTATGAATTAGACATGATTTGTATTGTACACTTCATATTATACAACAATTATGATTGGGAAACAGTACCTATTAGCACAGGTAAAAAACTACTATAAGCAGACACAATTGCTTTGTGTAAGTTGTTCTGTGCCTTATTATAAAACTAGATGATAAGGTGATGAGAATATGTAAGAATTATATTAATGATAGTCCTGGTATCTGTAAGAAAGACAAGTGATTACTCTTGATCAAGAACAGAATATCAGGACAGGATTTATCTAGTGATGTGTAGATTTCATAGCTATATACTTACTACCAGAAAAAGTTTGCTATTAAAATTTCTTCATTAAAAAAAGACATTATAATTTCATTATAATTTTGGGTCTGAAACTCTAGCCCCTAAACCACATTTTCCCTCCATTAAACATACTTTTTTAAAAATGATAACATAAGTATTCTTAGGAACACATCAGTTGCATAATGGCAGAGAAGACTGTTTCACTAAAATGAAATATTCTTTTGCTAAAACCTCTCATCAAAATTTTTGCCTCTTGGTTAGCGGTGCCACCATCTTCCAAATCATCTAGAATTGAAATCCTGTTAATCAGTTTTTCTCCTCTTCTCCCCTAACTTCACATATTTAATTAAACCCCAAGAGCTATTCTTCCTTTTGTTTTGTTTTTTTTCAAC